ACGTATATACATACATGCATACATACATACATTCGGTCCCATTGCATTCGATTCCGTCCCATTCCACTGCATTGCCTTACAATACACTACAGTACAGCGCGGTCCAGTACTTTACAACTACACTACATTACAATTACACCACATTACAGTCCTTGCATTACATTACAGTATGCACGCCGCACTGCGCTGCGCTGCTTTGCAGACATGCACACTAGCTACGAAACCGGCACCGTTGGGTTTCCAGGACTGAACGAAAGGATTCCGACGATGTTCGGGACTGACCATGTTTATGCACAACTCCACTGATGTGCTCCCTTCTGCGAGTCTGTACCGTAAGATCGCAATGCTTCCCTGCTGGTCCTAGCTCAAGTCCAACGGTTGTAGGTTCAAGGTTGAAGTGGTGCCCAAGCATCTCGTGATACCAGCGAACGGCACCAGTAGCAGCATCCACGGCGAAGATCGCCCGCCCTTCCTTCTTCGTGAAGACAGACGGGAAGGAAAGGCTCAGCAAGTGGAATGGCAAGAACAGTGGGACCACGATCATCGGGAGTGATATCGCCACTCTCGCGATGAGGGGCAGCCCTGGATTCTTGCCCATGCCGAGAATCCTTTCACGCAGGGGAGTAAGCCCTAAACCTTAGGGTTTAGAAGGGCCTAGAACGTGTTGATGAGAAGCCGCAGGGCAAGACAAAGTTCTGCTATCGGCCAACATGAGGATCAACGAGGTCTTGCCCGGGCTGCCAGCCAGCTCGCCCACAGCTACCGCCTGGTTGCCCTCATGGGGCAGCTCCTGGAACAGCATACAGCCACAGCCCATACCAGCCCAGTCCGCCCTCCCCCGCCCGCATGCAGCCGTGATCTACCCTGAGCTCGGAAGCCTCCACCCTAAACTCCTAAATCCCGAAACGCCGAAACCCTAAACCCCTAAACCTCTAAACCCTAAACCTCTAAACCCCAAAACCCTAAGCCCTAAACCCCTAAGCCCCTCAACCGTTACCCCCCAGTCCTGGGTCCAGAGGTGCTGGCCTTCTTCATAGTCGTAGACATGCAAAAGCCCAGCGGGCTGCTGGCCAACATTGCCTGTGCTCTGGCAAAACACTCGAGCAAAGCCACCATAATTTTAGGTTCTTTTTAAGGTTCTTTCACGGTTCTATGGGGGTTTAGGACAAAGGACCTCAATTAAAGCTACCATAATTTGGGCGAAAGGGTTCTTTAGGGGGTTAGCCCTGAGGAACTTAAGTCAAGCTACCAGGATAAGGATCTGTAATACTTCGTGGGGTTTCCTTCTTCTGGTAGCTGATTTTTCTCTCTACTAATTATAATAGGGTTTCTTTATTACGATAACTTAAACCAACAAAGAGCCCAGTTGCTGACGGCGAAGACGCGCCCGTCGTGTAGCACGACTGCCGCAGTGGTCGACGACTCCCTGTCGGGTGTTTTGGCATACCAGAGGAGCTTGCCATTTGTGGACAAGCGATAGACGCCTCCCGTCCGGTCCTTCAGCTCATTTCCGACTGGTTGGGCTACACTTAGAACTTCCGGGTGCAGCAAAAGTCCGATTGCCACAGGACGGACATGAGGACAGATGAGGGAACGAAGCAGTTGCCAGCAAAGAGTTGGCCTGAAAACCTCGTGTCTTGGCCGCATTACCCTTTACCAATATGCAGCTAATCACGAACATCCGATGCGAAGCCATGTTCATGCCACTAGGGCACAAAGTCAAAGCAATGCTGCCGAAGGACTTCTTCATACCCAAGGAAGGGTCTAGGGTTCACTTAACCGAATGCTCAAACCCGAAACCCTAAACACCTAAACTCCAAACCCTCGTCCTGAAACACGAAGCTGCCGTCGTGGACCGTCGCAGCTTGGAAATTGAACGTGGGACGGTATGGAGCGAACGACCAGCGGAAAGATCCGTCTTCGATGCTCCTGGGCTCGGGAAGGGTTTAGGGCTAACTGTGGTAGTAATAATCACAGAAAGTAGCAATAACAGTAAAAAGAATAACAACAATCACAATAACAATAACTAATAGTTACCAATAATCGTACTAACATAATATCAATAACTATCATTCTTCTTCATAATATTGTTGGCTAACATTTTGCTATGATGATGATGATTACTATTGCTCTTATCATTGCTGCGGTAGTTACTATGACTAAGCGTGTTGTGACTACTAGTATTGGAGTTTAGGGTTTGGCGTTTAGAGAGACTCTACCATGCGACACAGAAACGACATGGAATTTCATGCAGTGAAAACAGGTTTAGTTGGCTTCATCGCGGCCTTCATTGACCGTAGAAGGGTTCTGGGATGTTCGGAAGTATGTATAGGTATACGGGGCAATACCCGAAACCCCAAACCCTAAACCCCAAACCGTGAATAGTGTTTCCGAGCCCTGTGCTTAGAATACCCAAGTCTCAACGCCATGAGCCGGCTGTTCTCGATCACCTGCTGTGGCACCAGCGGCACAGGGTCCATGACTGAAACGATGATGAGCCTGGGCTTAGGGCTGTCGTTTTGGGGTTCTTGTTTTAGTTTTAGGAAACCAACGCGAAACCCTAACCCCTCAACCCGAAACCCTTCATGAGGTTTATGGTTTATGGCTTCACGGGCCATCTTCTTACAGCAAGGGTCGCCCATGTTTGCGGGGATGCCTGCTTATCAGCTCTTTACCTAAACAGATCACGGGACTTGGTATGGTTATACGCATGTTAACTAGGGTCAGAACTAATGTTTAGTCTAGATACCCTAAAGATACAATCTCCGGATCCTTCAAGCCGAAAACTCCGCTCTCGGTATATATATATATATACATATATATATATATATATATACATGTATATATATATATAGAGAGGGGCCTTCACAAATAGAGAAAGGTTTGGGGGGTACATTCTAGGATTATTTCGAGAATAACAGGGCTTAAGGACGACGATGGTAATGTAGGGGCCTTAGAAATTAGAATAGGGTTTTGGGGCAGATTNNATAGTTATAATAAGGAGCCCCAAAATGCTATTGGTAAGTGTTTAGGCTTCTAGATTAGTTCCTTTTGCTGCGGCTTCTACGTTAGATCCTAAGGCCCTTGCATGTCCTTCTCCGAAATGGAAATCCGGCCAAACCACCTTTCAAGATATTGAACCGGTATGCAGCGCAAAGCACACTAATGTTCTACAGCTAGGGGTCTGAAATAGGATTGTCGGTTTTGTTGTCAATACGAGTAGTTTTAAGGGCTTTGAAATACCGGGTTGGCCCTTTGAAGCCTTGGAACAACGCTTGAACAAAGGCCCTTATTAGGCCCCAAGGGCGTACAATAAGATGAAGGATTTAGTGGGGGCAGCTTGTCTTTCTGGGGATTAGGTTTGTGGGATTTCAGGTGTAGGAGTTCGGCTTTCCAGCAAAAGGGTGGCCCACCCTTCAAGACGCCCCGTAACCTTACTTTCATTTTCGTTGAAATCCCGTAAAGCCCCATACAACATCCCCTAGAAAGACGCACATACACCCTACCGGAAACCGTAGCTATCCCCTACCCCCCCCCCCCCCCCCGCCCCTCCCTGATTGACAGCCCAAGAGCCCCTGTGTCAGCAAAGCGCAGTCCGTGGCTGTGGCCACCTGCTCCGTGATCTTCGTCGCCCACCTCATTTAGGGTTTAGGGTTTAGG